TTCCTTGCGCAAGCTCTTACACTTCAAATATTAGTCTACAAATAAACTTCACACCTGACAATAAACATTTGAAAATATTGTACATATGACCTTCACTTCTGACAATGCCCCATATATACCCGTTGACTCTGACGCTCCTGTGCACATGCTTCCCACTTCTCTGGCAGAACGACGGCCTGTCTCAGTTCTCACAGACACAGAATCGGCAGCGCAAGTTGATCAGGCGCATGACCCGCTTCATGTCACGCGCCAGTCCTTCTGCGCTGCAAGACCGCCTGTGCACATGTAAGTAGCTTAGCTGTATGTATGTATGTGAGTGGTTTAGCTTGTGTGTGTAAGTATGTGATGTGCTGTCTGTGTGTTTACAAGCGCTTGGAGTGTATGTGAGCTTATTCTGAGCCCCCTCTGTGCGCAAGTATAGAACTCAAGCGTGGACGCACTCAATAACACAAGTTGATGAAGCGTGTAACCCCTGTCACGTCACGCACCAGCACTCCTGCGCTGCGCGACCGAGCCCGTGTGTACGCACGTAGCTTAGCTGCGTGTGCACTTACGAGGTGTAGGCGTCTTTGTGCTTGAGAGTAGTATAGGTGAGCTTGTGAGTGGTATTGCCGTGCCTGTGTACGTACGTAACGTAGCTGTGTGTTGTATTGCGGCGGTTGTATCTGTGTGTTGTTTTGTGGCTGTTGTAGCTGTGTGTCCTTTTGTGGCTGCCGTAGCTGTGTGTGTGCGTACATATATAGTTCAGCTGTATGACTGCTTGTGTAGGGTAGAGCTGTGCGTGTGCAGTCATATAAGTTGCTTAGCTGTTTGTCTGCACATGACATGTGAATCTGTATGTGCCTGTGACTGGTGTAGCTGTGTGTTTATGCTAGCATACGTATGCATGTGTTGTGTACCCGTGTGAGTGCACATTCGTAAGCCAGATATGTGTGCTTGAGAGTAGCCTAGCTGCTTCTATGCACCACGTTCCAGCTGTGTTCTTAACTAGGTTTCCATCTACTTACCTACCCACCCGATCTCACAGACTTCGAAGGCATGCGCTATAAATGCGACCGTGGCCCCAGCTATCAGGTAAACCCTAGCATGCTTTCGCATTTTGTACAGTGACGAACTGACATGTATACTGCTCGTGTCTGTGTTGCAAACGCGTTTGTTGGAGCTGGTATCTATTTGTCTACCTCTATATCTAACTATCAGCATATCTTTTCGCTCGTACTTTCGCCTTTACTTGGTTTGTGTTGATGGTTCTCTTGCACATGTCCTGTAAATTTGAATTGAAGCTTGGATCTATTTATCTACCTATACAACTAGCTATCAGAAAGGGTTTGCTCGTTCTGCTGCCTTGACTGTTGCGTGGCTTGGGTTATGTTGGTTGTCGCGCATCTCTGATATCGGATACCACCTTGCTTTCGACTCTGTACACACAGCTCTCTATATCACTTCCGAATGTCGGCAAGAAGATGCCCCTGCGGTTTGCGGTGAGACTCTATCCCATGCCGCTCGGGGTCTATTTGGTCGAATTTAGGCTGGCCAAGGTAGGCTGCCACTGTTATGTAAAGTTTCTGCGCAATTCCATGAATACGGCATGTACAAATAATTATGTGTATAATGTCTATCAATTGGGTTTTTATATATATTCGTATGTAGAAAGATACATCCATATACATATAAGTGTATCTGAATGTTCATTGTATTTACCAAGATATGTGTATATACCTCCGTATTCGATCATGTCTGATTGTACTGCATAAATGTTATATTTTATGTTGGTAAATTCATCCATTATGGTTATACTCAACACTGTACACACGAAAAATTATTAGAAAGACGAGTGCACACACACATATATATATATATATATATATATTGGTGCACATACATATCAGTAGGGTTGCATTCGTGTTCTGTAAAACTTATATCAATACGATATAGCTTAGGATTCGCATGTGCTATGATAAAGGGTCATTTGTGTCTGTTCCGCAATTCGATACTGACGTTTCAGACTCGCGATACAAACTGACCATCTTCTTTCTCTCTTTTGCCATGACAACAGGGCGATGGCCTCCAATTCAAGCGGCTATTCAAGCAAACGAAAGAGACGCTAACAGGTGGGTATAGAATGTTTGAGATGTAAATTTGGGCATGTCACTATGATATACACGCATCGCTAGTTTCGAGTCAACAGACCTATTTGTTTTGTCATCATTTCACCCCACACCCTTACCCAGTTTGTAAACAATGCAACAGTGTGGTCTTCCGTATACGAATCATTTGGATCTGTGGTACTTCTACCTATGCTACATTTAGCAATAGTACCAAGCCACAACCCAAGTATCTTGCACGCCTATGTACCAATCTGGGATTTACCACATCTATTTCGAACCACAGATCTAGTCGCTGCGGACATTGACTGTGCCAAGACCTGGCTCAATCCCATGATCGACTTAGGCCCGGGCAACTTCGTCCCGATATTCAAGAAGAAGTAATCCCGATATCCGAGCAAAAGCCATCCCGGTATTCTAGGGAAGTATTCCCAATGTTCTATCAGATGGAAACCCGGAACTCAAGTAGAAATGATTCCTATAACAAACCCTGCTAGTATATGAGAGTCCCAGCTGATGTGACAATCTCTTGCCCCACGAGTGTGACCTGCAATAATACTTGCCTGTAGTATCGCTTCAAGTCGATTGGCTCGCCAGTCGTTCCACCGGTCGACGTCGGCCATGCAAGGCCTATATTCTTCTGACAAGAGAAGCCCACACACCCGACAGGCACCACCTCCTCAAACGACAGGTGAATGTTATGAGCGGTCAATAGCCGCACGTGACAATACGTAGTACAGGCAGCTCTACATAAGGAGATAGTAAGACACCAATAGACACGCCACACGCAGGTGGCGTGTACAGCAGAATCATCGCCATAGCCAAAGAGCATCGGCTGGGCAAAAATATCCGATCTTAGGTTCAACGGGCCCACAATACTACACACCGGGCTGGGTATGGGAGATAGTAGGATAAGCTTGAAGTGGACCATATCGTATGTTAAACCAAGGCGCACGTTCACATAAGCACTACCGTGCCGTGTGTGCGGAAATAACGGGTTATGCATCTAAGAGCCATGATATACAGCGGGCATGTCTTCTGTCTCACGTCCACCAGAGATCTTCATCTGGATTAGTACGGAGGGTGTACGACGAGAGCCGGTCAACCCGTATACTTAACTTGGGGGAGGAAAGGCACTTCGAAAGCACGCACTGGGTCTCATAGTTAGCGGCCGGAATACTGGAGTAATAGTCTAGATGTAATCACAATTATGATTTTGTGTTCAGTTTGCAGTCTGCTATGCACGTGGTGCGGTGTGGTAGAGCGCGACCGCTTTGTGATAGAGACGGACATTATGGGGTACAAGCCACTATTGACATACTATGACTGAATAATACGTACAAATATTTATTAGTCTGAATAGTACATACAATTTTTTTTGATAAGACCATACTGGATATGTAATTGTTGTAGGGAGTCTGAAAGTATATTGGATTAGAACCCATTGTCAAGAAAAATCTGTAGAACGTAGTCTTAGCCGGATCATTAACCTGTACATGTACGCAGCGTAGCGTTTTGTATTTAAAACAATAAAAGGAAAACTCGGCCAGGTTCTCAGATAAACTATCGTCGGCACAAATCGATGTAGAAACCGTAGTTCTACCAGTTGTCCGCCCACGACTCAATTGGATCATTAACTTACAAGCGCTGTGGTGTAAAGAATACTTGCGGGTGGTACTGAGTGGCGTATATAGCTTCCATCCACTATGTATTGTACGGCAGCGTAGCCAATGCTGTAGATAGGAACAAAGTGCACTGTTAAAAAAAAGAACAGGTCCTGCAGAGGACCTATCGTTACCCACCCGAACACACGTAGGACTAAATAGGGCGAGAGAGTCAATATTCAGCCTGCACTATCACTCGTACGAGATC